CTACGTGTACTGCATTAGGCTAACCGAGACTTGTCACAGCACTTACATATTATTGCCCTTTTGTTGGTTTAGATTGATTCTATTGTCCTCATTTGTAAGTCGCTTTGGATAAAAGCGTCTGCTAAATGACTAAATGTAATATAAATGTAACAATCTTTTGCTATATATTGCTGTTTGTGCAGTGAGATAATGTCTGTCACAAGCAATTCCACCATAAAATGTCAAACACTTGACATTAAAGGCACAATATGTAATTTTCGCTGCTAGAGGGCGCGTATTCAAAATAAACAAAGAGACAAAGGCGTAGTTTGATGACGCCGTGACCGAGTGTGGAATCGTGGGAGTTGTCGTCTTCATCCCCACAGCCGATGCAATCCGACAGGACTCGGGCAGAAATCATGTTCACGCACAACATATTAAAGCGTCTTTGGTGTTTCCATGTTTTCTACAAAACAAAACCGGAAATCGAGGGGTTATGACGTCATTGGCAGGCGACACAATGACACTATAGACACGGTCTGTCACTAGTTAAAATTGCTTATTTCTCTGGATTTAAACATTCTTCGAAACATTTGGGATAATGTAAGTACACAAGTCAGCAAAATTTATAACACTGTTCTAGTGGTTTTTGGATATTTTAATTAAAAAATCTTACATATTGTACCTTTAAGGAACTTGTTTTGTTAAAATAAAAAACGTACACCTACATTTGAATGTTTGTGGTCTTCATTTTAGAACAGCGTGTAAGCAAAGGAAAAAGGGTGGTGACTAAACTGAGCACTTCTTACATTCCAGTCATACATCTCCAACTGAATGTTTAAATTCCCTTGAGAAATCACTTTAAGAACTAATTCATTATCTAGTACCATTTGATGAGATATGTGGCCCAGACATGCAGTCTGCAGTTCATATTAATTACTATTAAGTTCAAATTGTGTTAACCAACTGTGACGAGTGGGGGCGGGGCCGAGAGCCGTGGGAACGGAGTTTTGTGTTTTGGTTCTGTTTGTGCGCGACAGTCGTCCGTGAGGGGCTATCGCACTATTTTGTGTTTATTTTATTATTAAAGTTTTCTTTGAACGTTCGCTGGTTCCCGCCTCCTTCTTACCGTGACTACGAACTTTGTTACACCAACGTTTATTTGTAACTCTCCAGGAGCTTTCTTGCAGACGTGTTGATGTTGTCACAATTCTCACTTAATCAAGTCCTCGTGTCAATCAAGTGTCACAAGCAATCATAAGCCATGTATTCCTTATATATAGAACAGGTTGTCATAACACTCTTAGAGATCATTATGAAAATCTGCAGATAAGGTTGCACCAGCAATCACTACAGCATTAGAAAGGTACAGCATAAAATGGTGATACGATGCATGGTCTTATGACTGAACTATATTGTTGTGAATATCGATGACAAGCACTTTGAGTTTGCATGCTCCAGTGGAACAGTTGAGTTATGATGCTTTTCTGAAGGGGATCAGAGGTGGAAAGGTTTGTCAACAAAGTCACTGTTTACTTTGTGTGTTTATTGGCGGTCTGTGCAAAACATGTGAGAGAATCCACACTGTCTGGTGGTCATTTGAGCTGTCTGAAAGGGATTCCAGGAAGAACGGGAAACGATAAAGCAAGTGAAGCTCAGTAAATCACAAAAGATTTCATCAGGAAACATGGTGTTAGTTTTCACTGTTATGCTGATGACACTCAGCTCTATATTTCTTTGTGGCCCAACAAAACATACCAATTCGCAAAACTAACGGAATGCATAGCTGATATAACAAAAATGGATGACTAGTAATTTCCTGCTAAATTCTGAAAAAACAGGTGTTAATTATCAGACAAAAACCTCTGCATGTAATAATCTAGAACAATGTCTAACACTTGATGGCTGTGCTGTCAATTCTTCAGCATCAGTTAGTAACCTAAGTTTGCTATTTGATACCAACCTTTCCTTTGAAAATCATGTTTCAATGTTATTTGTAAAACCGCATTTTTCCATCTTAAAAATATATCTAAATTATGACCTATGCTCTCAATGTCTAATGCAGAAACATTAATTGATGTGTTCATGATTTCAAGGTTAGATTATTGTAATGCTTTATTGGGTGGTTGCTCTGCATGCTTAATAAACTCCAGCTGGTCCAAAATGCAGCAGCTAGAATTCTTACTAGAACCAGGAAGTATGACCATATTAGCCCGTTTCTGTCAACTCGGCACTGGCTCCCTATTAAACATTGTATACATTTTAAAATCTAATTACTTATAAAGCCATGAATGGTTTAGCTCCTCAGTACTTGAGCGAGCTCTTATTGCATTATAGTCCTTCACATCTGCTGCGATCTCAAAACTCTGGCCATTTGATAATACCTAGAATATCAAAATCAACTGCGGGCGGCAGATCCTTTTCCTATTTAACACCCAAACCCTAGAACAATCTACCTAATGTTGTTCAGGAGGCAGACACACTCTTGTCAGTTTAAATCTAGATTAAAGACCCATCTCTTTAACCTGGCATACACATAACACACAATCATTTTTCTATCATTCAAATCTGTTAAAGGATTGTTAGGCTGCATTAATTAGGTCAACGAGAACCAGGAACACTTAGCATCCAATGTTCTTGTTACATCGTGAGAAGAATGGCATCTACGCTAATATTAGTCTGTTTTATTCTTATTCCGAGGTCACCGTAGCCATATGGATCCAGTCTGTATCCAGATCAGATGGTGGATCAGCACCTAGAGACGACCTCTACATCCCTGAATGTCAGCGGAGACCATGTCAACTATGGCGCTTTTCCACTGCGTGGAACGACTCGGCTCGGCTCAGTACGGCACGGCACGGTTCGGCTCGGTTCAAGCCCTAGAGACAGATCCCCAGCGAAGACCTCGTCGGTCATCGGCACAAGACCACGAGAACCAAATGAGTCCTTTGAATTAAACCACAACATGCTGGTTTCGTCTGGCCAGAGGAGAACTGGTCCCCCAACTGAGCCTGGTTTCTCCCAAGGTTTTTTTCTACATTTCTCTTATTAATCTTTGTAATTTGCACAAAAAAGGTATAATTATTCTTTGCCAGATCTGTGGTGGCAAGTATGAAACAGATGGCAGTTTATAAATCACAGTAAAGCTCTGTCATTATTTCCAGACGATATGAATCAAACTGATGCTGAGTCACAAAAAGTCAACAAGAACCAAACCTGTCTGGGGCTTAAAGCAGACGCAAATGTGGATCTCTCTTTGAGAAAATGAGGAAATAACTGGCACAGGATATGATGAATCATCATGAATCATCTGCTAGGAAATGTTAAGCCACACTCTGAACAGAGTACATCTATATTAGCGAAGGCCATATTAGGACCTCTGGGCGACGGTTTAGAGAGTAATACTCACCCATCTCCCTAGAAACGGGCGATATGGCAGCATTTTCCCCAATCTTTGAGACTGCATCGAAATATGCCTTTCCAGCAAAGGTCATTGCTGTAAGAGAGTAAATAACTCATATTGATTAACAGGAACTGGAAGCCAAACTACCTGTATTCCAGCAATTTTGAGAGAAATATTGCTTTTTTTGTCATAGTTTTAGGTTTTATTTGAGCTGTTTTATGCAAAAATGTAGGATTATGTATATTTATTCTTTTGAAAATGAACTGATGTGATTACCTGTCACTGCTTTCTCGTAGCTCTTCCCCAGGTTAACCAGATTCCGCAGACTTGGGTTAAACTGCTCCATCACATTCTGGAAGAGCAGGAAATAAAGCTCATATTTCGAAGTTACAGGGAAAGCAGCTTACTGCAGCTGAATGAAACTGAAGAAACTTCAAAACGGACTCAAAATAATGTGCCCAAAAGATATTTTGTAAAATGCTTCAGTTTTTTTAATCAATACAATCAAGCCAGTGGTGTCCAATGTTGTTTTGGACCCCATCGACTTTCTTTGTACCGACACTTGAAACATTCTTCAAAATATCCTCCAGGTTTGGAAATATGATGATGAGTAATGATGATATTATTTTAATTTTGGGGTGAAATCCCTGTCTCTACATTTTAAAAGGGCAACTTTTCCCCCATTCTAGGTAAATCCCATTTTTTTGTCCCTGCAATAAAATACAAAAGTGATTTACAACACAATTTGCTTTCTAAAAATAGCTCTACTGTAGCTAAAAATACATTTGTTTAATCATTGACTTGTAATTCTAATTATATTGCCTATGGGATCAAAGTCCTGCTTAAGTAAAGGGCCCTCTGGATCTCTAGTGACCTTACCCTTCTGTAATATAATTCTGGGCAGTTCCTCTGCTAATTCCCAAGAACACACCCTTGGCAAAACAATGAACAGTAAGGTATGCAATAACAGAAACAGTCCAGCACAAACTGGTTTCTTAACTCAACCCAGAAACCCAACTGAAGCACTTTAAAATACACTCATGCCTCTATTGCACAACTTACGCGCACCTTAATGACAAAACGTACGAGTGGCATAAAATAACACTTCGTTATTTAACAAACCAACACAACTTTCACGGGGCTGTACGTACTGGGCATAATAACAGTTGGTCAATGCCAAATAATATACATATACATGTGGTTGTCTTAATAACAGCTAATCAATGACCAATAAGATAAACGCAGTTTAAACCGACGCTACCTTATATGTGCTCTCGGTGAGTTTGTTCACGTCCTCCGGGGTTCGAGACATTTTTGCAGGTATTCTCCAAACGTCCTTGGTGACAATGTGTTTGTTTCAACTTTCCCCGTTCAAATCGTGGCTGTCTTTTCGTCCCACCTGTTAACGTGTTTGAAGCGGCAGAGAACAGAGCGCTCGGGCGCTCTCGAGAACAACACGATACTGCACTGATGCACGAGAGGAGGATGAAACCTTTCCGCGCGACCTCATGCCACACGTGGAAAGGTAGGATCTGTGACGTCAGAGCTTTCTACGGTCAAACAGAAATGAAATAATTTTTCTTTCCCTTCTCTTTCATCGTTTTCCCCCTGCACTGTTCTTTTTGGTTACTGACTGTGGGTATATATTTTTTTAAAGTTTAATTATCTGATAGGCTATATACAGTATATAGGCTATTTACTGATTCCAAATTACATTACAAAAATTGTAGTTAGTACCGTAATCGATTAGGCCTACATTACACAATATAATCAGACTACTTTTAGGTTACTTTTAGATTACTTTTGACCTATCTCGTATATCACATTGATTTAAATAGGAAATTAATAAATTATATATTCCATTCATTGTTATTAAAGAAATGAAGTGCATTAAACATTACATTACGTCAAGGTTTCCCAATCTGGGGTTTGTGAAGGAACTACAGGGGGGTTAATTGTGAGTTTAATGAAAAGCTAATAATGAATTAAATCATAAAAATTTTCATCAAAATATATAATATTAAAATCAATCAAAATAAAACACGTACTAAAAATGAAATATTTTATTTGTTTACATAAATGTCATGTGACCGTAACCAAGGTCAGAGAACCATGAACATGCAAGTGTGATGGCTTATTTATCTAAAAAAAAATATTTATTTTAAAATCTCAGGGGTACTTCAAGTAAATATATTAGGTGAAAGAGGATCAGATGACAAAAAAGTTTGTGAATTTATGCATTTTAATGCCAAAAGTGATAATTCAAATAAAAAATAATGTGTTTATCAGTAGTTGATGCAATGTTGAAACACTTTTTAAACCTGAAATGATTTTTGTAAATCCAATGGTCAAATACTGTGTCTTCCACAAAACTGGAAGACTTTCTGAATGTACGCATTAGGCCATTTTAGAAAGGACCATTTTAAAGATGAAAAAGATGAATTAGGGAGAATCAATAAATTATGAATAATTTATTGCTATTGTGTAAATAATATGCAATCATGTAATCCATAAAAAAGTAACTGTAGTCTGATTACGAGTATTTTAAATCGTAATTTAATCTAATTACAAGTAGGCCTACTTAATTTTTGAAATCTGATTACGTAATCCAGATTAAATGTAATCAGTTACTATCCAGCTCTGGTTATACACTATAATAAAGTCATAAAGTCGTTTAGTCAGAGACGAAATAATGGAATATGGTGGAGAGAGTCCGCACAGCCTGTTTCATTTAACATATGTGCAGACTGTTTTCGGCTTGAAAACTATTAAAAATACTCTTAAATTTCCATTTCTCTCTGAGTAATTAAAGATCATTTTGTGCAATTATGGATTGAAACTGGTACCCTAACAAGCATGATAGTGAGAGTGATGTGTATATTGAAGATTGATATTAAATTCATGCGGTATCAGATGATTCAACTGTGATAGAAATAATCTGATAAACATTTCACTTTTTACAGCGCCACTTTGTGGCCGTTTATTTTGTAGGCCTACTAAAGTTACAGTTCCTGAGAAATTCTTACTGTAGTAAAAAGTGTGACTACTAGCACCAGTCTACATGCCATATTTTAAAAGCTTTGGAATAATATGTAGAGACTTTTGCACATTCTCTAAAATCTATCCAGGCGTCTGTAGAGGAATGGGCTTGTGAATTAGTCATGTTTCTGCATGAATTATGTTTTCTTTGGCAGCACAACACACATCATTATTCAGATTAGCATACGGATTCAACACGTGGATATGATTTCAAGCCTTTACCAAACAGCATGAAAGACACTGAAAGCTTGACCCAGTCATACTCTCACAAGTCACAAGCTGTCGTCTGTACACATTTAGAGATCCATGCTGACGAGTCCACATGAACTAGTATGTATAGCTTATAGTTCTGAGTAAAGGATATAAACATATGATTTTCTATTACGACTAATCGTTTATTCATGTTGAATGTTTATATTTCAAGCTGTAGACTGAATTCCATCAGGATCCGGAGTGTTCTGGTTCATGCTTTTCTCACACTGCTTTCCTCTCTTGCTTTTGGGATACCCGACGAGTTATCCCATCAGTTATCTGGTAAGCTGACTAGTCCTCTTATGTCTTTTGACTTGGTTGGTTACTTGGTGGTTACATTGTTTTACTATTTCGCTATAGGAAATGTCAAAGGAAAGATCATTTTCCGTCAAATGGAAGGGAATTCAACATACTTGCGTGATAGTGGGAAGTTGGCATCTTACATACCCACCGTGGTTTCATTTGAGCACTTTGACCCGAGGCATACCCTGCACTCTGTCACTTTCATATACACATGGGACTTAGGCAATGGGTGATTGTTATTTGAACAAATAAATCCGTTTCAATGAACTAAATGTTTATCTTCGAAATTGTTTTCTTTACAGTTGTCATTGTTTTTTTAGGGAAGTGAGTAAAGGCCCAGAGCCTTTTGTGACATGCCACTACACTTTACCAGGGAACTACACATTTCAACTGAGAATTGAAACCAATACACCCCAGCATTCCAGAATAACTGGGCTGTACTCTGTAGATTTGACTGTGTTAGGTGGGTGCAGAATCATTATCTCTTTTAATTGACTCTTTATATGTTACCAGTGGTGTTAACATGTCAAAGATTCTTTTGTTTTGTAGATGCCATAAAGACCATTGAATTGAGAGGACCTTTAACTTATAACGTGGACCAGAGCAGCAGTCTGTCCTTTCAGGTTGGAGGAAGGTAAATGTATTTCAAGAAAGTAAAAAATTATTTGGGAGGACTGTTATTTTTCATATAGTCTTTTATTCTTCATCATTCTGAAAAAAAGTCAACAGACTTGACTTTTTATACATTTTTTTTCTATTGCATGTGATGTGTGTAGTCCTCCGGTTTGGCTGTGCTGGAGAGTTTTGTCTGATTGCCACACACCCAGTCCAACTTCCTGCAATGTAGTCAGGCTCTACGGGAACCAATTCAATCTGAACTACACCTTCAGATCAGTAGGAACATATTGCTTAGACCTGAGTGTGAGAAATTTTATCAGCAACCTCCAGACATCCTACAACATCTATGTGCAGAGCAGCCGTAAGTATTATACATTTATCTCAAACAATTCTTCATGAGTAACTTTGAAATGTTTCCTGTATTAAGTGGAATACAAAGTATTCCTCATGTTGTGGCACAATTGGAACATATAATGTCACAAAATGAAAATTCATCATTTACTCACTGTGATTTCATTCCAAACCTGCATGGCTTTTTTTCTTTTTCTTTTGTGGAACACAAAATGAGATATTAAAAGTTGTGATAAAGTGAATGGGGACATACATAGTGATGACCGAAGTTTTGTTTTTGGGTGAAATATCCCTTTAAATGCATGAAAAGATGAGCCATGTGAATAAGCATGACCATTCAAAATCACTGTTTGCATCAGGAAATACTGTGCTTGACCACATTTGGATCAAAATAGCATCAGTTATACAGCTTAAGGCCACTGATTGTTCATTCATGATTCATTTAGCCTCAGCGTGAAGAAGTCGGAATTACCCAACAGTACAGCATTTTGACTTTCAGATTTTCAAGAAAAGTTATCAAAAGATTTCCGATTGATCTCGTTAGATTCGGAGTGGCATACCGAATCAAACGATACACAATTTTCCTATGTCAGCCATTTTGAGCATGGACCATTTCGAATTTTGTAATAAAATGCTGTATTTTACAAACGCTTTAGAGTATTGTTATGAATCTTATAGAACTGTTTGCGGTAAAGTTATGAAATAACGAATTTGACAAAGTTTGTGCAAAATGGACACGAGGCTATATCTCCGCAATGCTTTAGTGGTTTCTGACCAAACCTGGTATGTGTTATAAGAGCATGACCTGAGTGTACATGAGTAGTTTGTCACAGCGCCACCTACTGATCAAAATTTTAAAAATGACATTTCTGCTTATAACTTCTGAACAGTTTGGCCAAAAATCATAAGATTGGTCTCGTTAGATTCGGAACAGCATACCGAATTGAACAGTACCTAATTTTTACTATGTCGGCCATTTTGAGTTTTGTAGTAAAATGCTGTATCAACAAATGTCTTTAACAGGGGTCTCCAATCCTGCTCCTGGAAACGTACCATACTGCAGAGTTCAGCTTCAACCCTAATCAAACACACCTGAACCAGCTAATCAAGTTGTTCAGGACTACTTCAGGTGTGTTGAAGCAGGGTTGGAAGTTTGAAGTTTAAAGTTGGAAGTTTGAAGTCTGCAGGAAGGTAGCTCTCCAGAAGCAGGGTTGGGGAACCCTGGTTTTTACTGAGTAAAGACAGCTCCTTAGCTCTTCATTTTACCTCTGTTGTGCTTGGCCCCTTAATTGCTGCTTGCAGCTATATTTTTTATGTTTTTCTTTAGTGTCTCTTATACTATATCATTAAGCCAGTAGGTGGTGACAAGTGACTGTCTTCATGAACAAGTCATTGAATCATTATTCAGCCGATTCGTTCAAAATACTGATTCATACAGGAACAAAACAAATTCCACGGTGTGCTGCTCAGAAACTAGATGGTTTGCCCTGTGGCGTTAGGGATGAAAAGAGTAATTTATTGTGCAATATCCTTTAAACTCTGAGTAAAATAAATTACTCCAAGTCCAATTAATGCAGAGAAGAGAAACCACATGAAGAGAGCGCGGCGCGCCAATAGTGATGGCCGTTCATAAATGATTTGTCGCTCCGTCTGCGTTTGCCCAAATAGCCTACTTTTAAAACGTGTAGCCAAATGTTTGCTACATACCATATTGTACGTAAAATATGTGTTGTGTAACTTAGGCAATAGTGATATATCAGATCATTTTACTGACTTGATATTTGAATTTCGTTCAGCAAAATAAAAATATTTTTTCAAATAATTTCATTCATCTGAGCGAGTTAAAATATGTTCAATAGATTCTCTGAATACGTCCACATACACAATCTTTGATCATATGCAACCAAATATATAAGTGTTAGCCTATTTATAAAATGATGCAGCAGAGTTTTGGTGTGTGTGTGTGCGTTTGTGAATTAT